TATTTTCAGTCAAAATGGTTTTGGTTGTTACCTTTTGGAGTATCCTGTTCATAGTGTTTCAAAGATGTAGCCAGGCTGATTTTTGGCTCTGGAGTTCTGCAGACTTTGATGGAAACATGCCCACTTACTCAGTGGCTAAAATATGGCTCAGAGCTTGTTGCTAAGTGAAACGTAGGAGGTGAATTACATTTCCAATAGCTCCTAGAGTTATAGCTGGCATTATTGAAAACTTTTTTGTTCTCTGTGTGTGTATTTTTTTTAATTCATACAAACCCATAGGAAAAGCCTTTTGGAATTTGTGAACTCTCCTGTATTTTCAACAAGGGAGAATATTAACAGAAAGTTGTAAGAAAACCTATCTTTTCTTATATCCTACTTATATGGATAGAAACCTTTTTAGCAAACAATACGATCTCTGAAATTTGAGGACCCGTTTGCACATTTCTTAATATTGTCCTGTGTCCAGTTCTAGAGAGTTCATCTAGTGGATGTTAACAACTTGTACTGCAGTGCAAGTTGTGGCACAGGGTGGCAAAAGTGAATGCGGTATTGGATTCATGATACTCTCACAAATGTCTGTTTCTTTATCATATTATTACATAGATACTAGTGAAGCTAATTGATCATACTGAGAATTTTGTGATAACAAGCTTGGACCTTAATGTGTCTAATGATTGAAAAGATAAATCTTATATATATTATCCAGAATGATTTTCCATCTTCAACTTTTCCATGTATTTATGAAAACAGATCATCACTGAAAAAAATGGTGAACTTCTTTCTCCTTATTCAAAACACTCTTTTTCTAAAAGTTGCTATAATATGTTGGCTAGACTTTTAACGTGGACCTAAGAGTTTGGTTACAGACTACAGAATTTGTATTAATATTTGGTTATTCCTTAATTAGGTCATAACCTTCTTTTGATGGATATAGTGATAGTTTGGCTCTAGCGTGGCTGATATCATTTTATTGTAGAAAATAATAAGTAGCAGCATGAGGACTTTGAAAGTCTTCTTAGAATTCAGATGCATGCTTTTTATTAATTTCCATTGACAGAGTTGTATCGCCAAATCCTACAGTAACCTTTGGAAATTTCAGCCAAAGTATTTGGTTTTCTCATTGCTGAAGTCCCAGCTGGGTACTGCAAAGATATGAGTCATTCACCAGTGATGCTCCACAGTTCCATGGTAATGTGGCCTTAGGCTATCATTTTATGCTGTGAGGTCTGTGAGGGTAAAGAGACCCCAAAGCTGACGGAGAGTTTGTAACTGCTAACGCCCAACATAACATTTAAAGAGACTCAGCTGACATAAATACGTTGTTCACTTGCCCCGTCCCTTTGCCTCTGTTGTGCCCATTTGTGCATGGGGTGAATGGAAATGACTGTTTATTCTAATCCAGAGCTGCCTGCATGAAGCCATGTCAGCTTGAACATGGAAGGTGATTTTCTCTGTGCAGAGAAATAACATATTCGTTATGCAACTATCTGCAACAAAACATGTTGCTTTTAGTGTACACTTATGAATCTACTATATCTCATAACTCTCTACAACTTAAAATACTTGGTCTCTTCTGAGAAGAGACTGAAAAGCTTTGGATAGATTATTATATGAGAATGATAAAACAGAATGGTCCTAAAAAGATCATACAGAAACTCTATTTTCCTTGTACTCAAGAAACAGTACTTAGTGAATTTTAATTTTAGAGACAGTTTTCAGAAGTGRTTACAGGAAATACACTTCCAAGCAGCCTGGACATGATGTATGTGAAAGTCCTTGCTCCAGAAAGTTGCTGAGGCCAAGAATGCAGCAAACTTAAAAAATAATTTGGATGCTAACAGATATTACTGATATTCAGAACTATAATAATAAATGCTATTAAAGTTTGAAATTACATTTCATGCTTTGGGCATAGGCTAATCTCTGTCTGACAGATATCARGATGAGACTTGTAGCAAGATGATGTCATGTCTACCTTGCCTTGGTTTCCTTATTTTACAGTCTAAACTTACCATGCTGGYAGTATACAAAACTATGCGAAACTGTTGTCCTAGATCAACAGCATTGTGCAGAATCCTAAAAAAAATGTGCATTTCTACCCATAGAAGAGGTCACTATCTCAAATACCATTTTAAAACAAATTAATTAGGAATAAATGCAAAGGAGTTAGGAATCAGTTCAATTATGTAGGTATCAGAATAGTATTGACTTTGTAAATGGTTTCACAGTACACTGGACATATATCCTCAGTATATATTCCTGTTAGGGTGCTTTTTTTTTTTTTTTTTTTTTTTTTTTGATTTGCAGTTAATTGTCAGTTGTGACAGCAGATTTTGCTGATTGGCCTTACTTCTAAGTCCAGTGGATAGCCGCCTCTAAATGCAGGTCTTAACATCGTCAGCTAGTGCATTTCTGCTTTGGAGCAGGATGGGTACTGCTTGAAACAAAAGCCAAAGTGACCTTTCTCAAAATATTTTCTACTTCAAAATACCCAATGAGAGGAAAAAAAAATGCCAAGAATCCTGAAGCAATTCTTTGATGATGTGCTTCCTACCTGCCTCTTATGACTGTGTGAGGAAATAAAACAAAATACACATTTGGTAATAATGTGATGATTACATTATATTGCTACCTTTTTGCTGCAGGAATTTCTGTGAGATTTTACAGCTGGTTTCTAGGGTAACTCTAGGACCTTTTAGAATAATAAGCACCATTGTTTTATAAGTTTTTATCAGAGTACAAGCAAAATGTAACTGTTGCCTTCAGAGAAATAACACCAACATGGCATGTTAAGGCTTCTCCAAATAAATAGTACTAGAGCTAATTCTGAGAGAGGACTAGTACTGGAGACATTCAGCTTCAATTGTCCATCCTTCAACTTCAATTGTCTATCCTTTAATTGTCCATCCACACTGGAGAAAAAAGTTGTCTTAAAACTTAATGGCTATTAAAAGAGCGCTGCATGGATCAAAGTTGGATTTTCAAAGTTGGTGGTTCATGTGAAGCGATTTGTTAGCAGAAACTGTGTGGACTTTCRTAGTGAAATGTTAATCTGTGTTGCAGACATTGTCCCCAATGAGCAGTACCTCAGAGAAGTGTCTTAATCTCTTTCCAACCTCAGATCAGGCAACAGATTTTGAACTGGTTTTCCGAGGTGGTGTGGAAGGATAGCTTAATAAAGTAAAGGACCTCATTACTTCTCTCCAAGTCCCCTAACCAGGATAATTAATATACAAATATTCCCTGAGATTAGTTATTTCCTGCCCATCTCATTGACAGGCAATGCTGAGGTTTCAAATCACAGCAGGCAAGAGCAGATGGCTACCTTCGCTAACAGATTATTCCATCAAGACATACAAACCATGCAGCTTTGTTTCAATATACTTCAACATATGATGTATAAAGTGAACATGATAGAATAAATCCGTGATGCCTATAATAAGAATCACATTACAGCACTGCTTAAAGTGCTAGGAGAATTGCCAAAGCAGTTATTGTATACTTGTGCTGATTTTGAGATCTTATTAGGTTAGAAAGTATTACCTGGAAAATAATTTGTCTTCTCTTTGCTGTTGCTTGCTGCCATTTTATTTTTATTGAACCAATTAAACTTAGAGATTTCCAATACATATAGTTTCTATAGAATTTGTAGCAAGCATATTAACATGTTACAGTTCACACTAATCATATGGTTAACTGTAACTTGGGAATTTTTTCATGAGAAAAAGAATCCCTCGGCTAAACTTCTATACCAGCAAGTCCATAATGAAACTGCTTTATTCTAATTAAAAAAAAAAAAAAGAAAAAGAGAAGCATTGTTTCAGGAAGTCGTTGCAAAACAATACATATATATCCARCATAGCAAATAAGCAAGCTCTGCTGTTTGAAATGATAAATTGCAAAGTAAAGCATGTCTAGAATTGCGAATGAGAAATTCTTGCTAACTAAKGGCCAGGCTACTTGCAATGTTCAGCAGCTCCAAATGATGGTATGGCATCTYTTAAGAGAGATCTGGTATTTCCAGCATGTTGCATAATTATTTGCTATGTAAATAAGTAAGACATGTGAGGTCTTGTGTGCCTGAAGTCTGTCGACATTGCCGGCAGTATTTTTAAAGAGCGTCAGCTCAAAAGGAGCCTACAACTTGCTGGCTCTTTGGAAGTACTTGTCACAGTGGAGCAGTTATTCTTCAGTGCCCATAACTTCGGCAGTGAAAGAGATATGTGGTGGTTTATAGCTCTGTGGGATGGCTCTTGTAAGGGCTGGTGAGCAGTACCATCTTCCATCTCTTATGTGTTATTGAAGGCAGTAGGTAACTCTGCCCCAAGGTAGCAGCCTTTGCTGTCGCCAATGTCCTCTGTCMTTTCTCTCCCTTGTGCTCTCCTGCTGCCTTTGCCTTGAGGATGTTGGCTCTGCTCTGCTCCCTGTGTCTTGTAGGGGAGGAAGGGCTCCAGTCTCCTACCTAACACACTGTGCTGGTGTAATAGTTCTGTTAGTGCAGTGGCAAATGGTAGGAATACCATGGTGGTAGTTGATCACTGGAAGATAGAGATTGCATTGCAACTGCTACAGGACTACGGATAATGATACGATTTTGTGTTTTAAGGAATTAAAGATTTTTCCCTTTTTTTTTCTAAATGCAAAAACTGAAGTTAAGATGATTTCCATTTGCCTACCTGAAACATTCACTTATATAATTAATCTATTTATGTATTCTGTAATGTTTTCTAATGTTTCTAATGTTTTATAATGTGAAATGGAGAAYGCACATAAAAATGCTATGTCGCATCTTCATGTACTTGTACTTACATATTTCACGTACATATGTACTTACAAAGATGCTGATTTTACTCTCTGCTTGAACAGTAACTGACCACAGTGAATTTCTGATTAAGCAATATTATTGACTGCATTCATACCCATAGAACTTGAGCAATGCCTGTTTCTGGCTAACATAAATCAGTTTTCTCTTTTCTCTTTGTTTTTTGCTTGTATGATAGACCTGCCCTCAGCAAATCTAAGCAATTACAACCTCACTGTTGTGGAAGGAAAGAGCATAACACTGTATTGTGATACTACTGGAGGGCCACCCCCTAACGTGTCCTGGGTGCTCACTAATTTTGTTTCAAACCATGAGGTAAGTTTCATGTTCAAAAGGGACGCAATTTAGAGAACAAGCACCTGCCAGAGGATGGAATAAAGTCTCATTGCCAGTTTTTATTTAACTTGTTACCAAAAATAAAAAGTAGTTTCTGGACATGCATTTGTAAATAAGAGTAGTTTTACAGAAATAACGTAGCACATCAGGATGCTGATTTCTTATTGTCACAAGTGTTTTCTTATTATCACAAATACCTGACTGGACACTGAAAGTCTAAGCTTCTCTAATTGCGAGAAAAGCTGTTGTTTCTCTAATTTTATTACATTTTCTGGCCAAAAGCCTGTTGTGTGGAATATCTGATTGTAAATATTAAATGCTTTACGTTTTGTTTCATTTTTCTTCAACAAGACCAAGTCACAATGGAAATATTCTAAAATCAAACTGAAAGTTCTATTAAAAGAAGATTTCTTATAAAGTTTTAAAATGTTCCTGTAATAAGTTCATCCAAACAGTGGGAATTTTGTTTTTTCTTAGATCCTAGTATTTTAGACTGTGTCTGAGTGGAGCAAGAAGCATTTAAACAGGCCCTCAGCATGCAGCCGCTGATTGCTATTATTTAGACTGTGCAAAAATCCCCCTTATTTACAGCTTTATAGCCTTGGCTCCTCTGAGCTCTTATATTTGGGAGTACAGACTGCCTACCTCTTGTGCAAAGTGTGTGATGTGTACTCCCAAAACATTTCCTTCCGTGAAGAGGAGATAGGACCTCTGAGGTCTCCCCATCTTTGCACTTTTTCTATGCAGGTCATTGTGGTAGGCTTTTGAAGAATTTGAATAGCCTGTCTTTCAACTATCATAAATAAGAGCTCTGCAGAGGCGCAGATAAATTTTTGAATTTCTCTGTTATCTGTAAAACTACCCAAAGGCACTAGTCATCTTCATGAACAAGAAGTAAAACAGTTTGGGGAACCTATGATAAGTGCTGTGGAGTTTTTTTAGCTTATTTTATTTTTATTTTGAGTTACGAGCCAACACAAATGTGGGATACTGTTCAAAATGTGAGATCACCTCATTTTTCACTCTCCTATCTTTGAAATGCCATGTTCAGTTTATTTCAAGTTTTCCAGAAATATTCTGTCCTGGTATGACTTAGTGAGATTTCAGAAGGGGCTTTTAATATAGGTTAGCTTCARTCTTAACCATGGAGCACAGTAGTCTTTTGAGTAGTAGAAGAAAGAGTGCTTTTTAAAGGTCACTTGCCATTCACAACTATCCTTCTCTTYCTGCAAGTGTTGCTTTTTGTTTTCTTTTTCTCATTTCCATATCACTGTTTCTGCCTCCCATTTCTTCACTTCTAATGCTGCTTTGGCCTGGTTTTCTTCTCTTTCTGATTTACAAGGAGATATATTAGCAAAAGTTAAAACTAAACACCAGTCCTGTAAAGTTAACTGCATGTTTGGCTTGTATGCTGTTATATAATTCTGTTGGTGCTGTTAGGCTTTTCTTGCTGCACATTTCAGTGCTGGTCCTGTGACTGAGCACCCAGCTCTAACTCTTGCCCTGAGGCGTGCTTGAATCTTGAGTTAATGCCTGAGGAAGTAGGTGCTTTGAGTGATGGCTTTTCCAATCGCCATGGTCACACTGAAATCAATGGGGTGCTTGGCAACTGAGCTAAGGTGTCATCCCACTCCATAAAATCCTGGTCTTGCCACGTGCAGGAGTGGTCCTGCCTGTCCCCATAGGCTGCCCCTGGAAGTCACCGTGGTTTTACAGGTGCATCATTTGCTTACGCTCTGTTTAGTTCAAGGATATGTGTACCTAAGAAAAGTAACCCCCAAAGGAGCTTTTTTTTTTWAATGATGTTCTCATTTATTTTCAAAACATATTTTTGTTCCTTTTCTTTCTAAAGAAAAAATCTTAAATTTTGTAGAAGAATTTAAGTAAATAGTAATTGGATATCATTTCAAGGACTCGATTTAAGAAAACAGAGGCTGTAACAATCAGCTTTGACATACTCTTGTCAAGGTATAGTAGAGCTTAGACGGCAGCAGTAGATGAGGTGTCAAGCTAAACATAAAGGAAAGAGATAAAAAGAAGAGTAAAGCAAGAAAGAAGTAGAATATGGAAGGGAGGAAAAAGATTAAGGAGAGCTGAGATATACTGAAGAAATCAATCAAGAAATGGAAGAGGGGGCGAGCAAGGGAGTGGGTAGAGGATAAAACAACTTGTGGAGAGGAGAAGGGGTGTTAAAAGAAGAGAGAAACTGAAAGTGACAGGATGATAAAATGGATGAGTTTAGGGATGCAGCAGAACAGCTCTTCTAGTGCTTTAAATTGCTTGCTASTGATGGTCACAGTTGGTTCTGTAGGTATTTTGCATCTATTTGGATAAGACACCAAAGGCACAGWTTGATAAATTGCAGGCTGATACAGCTAAATGGAAATGAAACAGGAAAATGGCACTGAACTGTGGCCAATGGTGCTCTCTCCCTTGTTTCCTTATGCCCCAGCTGACAAATAAATATTTTTCTGATCATTTGTAGAGTGACACAAGCAAAAATCCTGCCTCGCTAACCATAAAAAACRTTTCATCCATGGACAGCGGACTGTGGATTTCTTGCGTAGCGGAGAACATTGTGGGAGAGGACCAGGCATCTGCCGAGCTCACGGTGTTCTGTACGTAAGCAGGGCTGCGCGTGCCTGCCAGGGCAAACYGTGCGGGCACCAGCTGCTTGGGGTATAGACTGGGCACAGACGTTGTTGAAGGGAAAGCTCCCTAAAAGCACGTGAACTATCTGTTGCATTTAATCCTGGGAGTAGCCCAACTGCCRGCTGTTATGTTTATCCTTTTCTGCAAAGATAATGTGTCTAAATACTTCCAGTGGGGACAATCTGTAAGTAAATATCTGAAACGCAAAATATTCAGTGGCACAGTCAGTGAAAAGGTTTCTAATGGTGTGTATCTTATGGATCTAAGATACGTGAATACCTCAAAAGGGTTACAGAAATTATTTATTATAAATTAAACACTTTCAAGATTTCTTTTTTATCTAAGGAACAACAACTTTCCTGAAAAAAAAAAAAAACTAAACTTGCAACATTTGTTCTGCCAGATAACTTTGAGTAATGTCCTAATTTGTCAGGGCCAAAGAAGGGGGAAAGGGTGTATAATATAGAGGCATTGGTGTCTTTAATTCTAAGATTGAAGCCTGAGTTCAATTTTATGTGAAACAGGATGTTTTCACAAGTTGCAACCCTCTGTTTAATTGAAGATGGGATTGTAATGCTTTGTAAATGGAAAACTTTGTTCAACATGTGCTCATGACAGAGTAAACTAGCAAAATTACTACAGATGCACTTGTAGGTTGAAATTGGATATATAATAGCTATGGGAAGGGACATGAACTAGAAGTATTTGAACAGTGTAACTGAGATTCTCAGATTGGCACTGTTATGATTGATAAAAAGGAGCATAACTAGATGAAATTGGATGCAGTTAAGAACTGAGTATCAAGGAAAATTTCCCAACAATGAAATAACATGCAAGGTGTTGGAACAATCTCCTGAGTATAAGTCTGTCAATTTGAGGCATTTACCAGGTCTGAACAAAGAAAGAAAGTAGAAAGTGGTTCTTTCTTCATGGAATAATCCAGAGAATGAAATCATCTACTCTGGCTTTGATTCTGTGAATAAATTCATATGAAAATTTGGATTCTTAGCCAAATATATTTGCAGTGCAACTTGCTTTTGGCCAACTTTTAACTATTTTTAATACTGTTTTGTTCCTTCAGCTCCTCTGCTCCATTTTAACTACAGTGAAGCTAAAAGCTTTCTGTCTCTTCTCTGCGATCTGGTAACTGAATTTTCCACACCTTGCAGTCTCAATGGGTGTTCAGACTTTGTTTGAAACTAGTTGGTTTTGTTTCTTKCTGAAGAGTGGCTTCATTTCCCTTCTGAGTGTAGTATGCTAGGCAGAGCAGGTGGGCTTCCTCTGTGAGTATCCTCCAGATAAGTATAATGCTTACAGTGAGCATTGAATGCATACAACAATCATATTTTAGCACTGATGAATGACAAATATTTTCCCTAATAACTCAAGGAGGAAAGGGAAAAAAAAAACCCATGTTCAGGATATTCTGATGTTCTTCACTCTTTTTCCAATATAGTTGCACCAAATATCACATTTATTGAATCTCCAACACCGGACCACCACTGGTGCATTCCATTCACTGTGAAAGGGAACCCTAAACCCACACTGCAGTGGTTCTATGAAGGGGCTATCCTGAATGAGTCCGAATACATCTGTACTAAAATACATGTTATCAATCAAAGTGAATACCATGGCTGCCTTCAGCTGGACAACCCTACCCACCTGAACAATGGTGCTTATACATTACTGGCAAAGAACGAGTATGGAGAGGACGAAAAGCGTGTTGATGCCCATTTCATGTCAGTGCCTGGCGATGGTGAGTATCATGTTTTTATATAAGCAATTGCAACTGAGGAGCATGTGGGAACAGCTCTCCTGGCCAGTTTACCTATTTCGAATGAAGCTTTTAAAATTGACTTTCTTCTTTCAATTAAAATCATCAGGCCTAGTTGTAAAATAATGTGTTTCTTTTAATGTTTTCTTCTTTATTGCTCCTCAAGAGAGGTCATGCTAGTGCTCCCTATGTCCTTCGAGTTCCCATTATCAGCGCAGCTAAGGGTGTAAGGCATTGCTATTTCTGAAGTGCTTTCTCTAGCCTGATTTCTAATCCTGGGAAACTGTGAGTGCCAGTTCAGTCAATCTGTAAGTTTTCTGCACTGTGTACAAGTGCAGCCAGGCAGTGTATCCAAGGACACAGGGAGTTACGCCTATGCAGGATTTAGTGCCTTGTTGCAAAATCAGTAACGATGTCTTCCAGTCCATGCTGTTTAGGACACCAGAGGGAGCTGGAGAGAAAAAAAGTAATCCAGAGGCAGAATGGGCAAGGTTTCAGATCCTTACGGCAACTAGAGGTTTGATTCCTAACGATTTCAGTGGAGGTTGGGCACCTGCATGCCTAGGAAGATTCATGCTTAAGATAGCTGCTGGTAAATGTTTGCATCTCCTGCTGCTGTAAAGGCTCCTCCTAAATGCCGTGTAAGCCATCTCAAGGTGGACTAACTCCCTGAATTGCAGGGATCGCTTTAAGTGGTTGATGTTCATTGTGGTTTCATCATTCCTCACATCTTCAAAGCCATATGTGAAGTGACTGTACAAGTAAGAAAGCATAAATGTAAGTGTACTGTTATGTGAAAAAACTCTGGTGGATCTTGCACTGCAAGAGTGGAAGTATAAGCATATTTGTGTTCACATACAGAATCATATCCGAAAATATGATTATGTGTGTATCTTTGGCTTTTTAACCATGTGACAGAAATAGCCTCCCTCTTTTTCTGAAACATCAGAGTGTAGTGCTAATGTTATGTGACAGAAAAAAAAATGTATTTAAATTCTCTCTCCTACATTGCAGGCTATAGACAATCAAAGTACAGTCTTTATTTAAGATCTGTACCCTAGCTTACTCTGCCTTGGGGAGTTAGATGGCAATTCTCTTCCGGGAAAGGCTAAGAAGTAGGTAAAGAGCTAATACAACTAGGCTCTATTTACTCCTGTTGTTCTCTGTACTTCCTCTTCTATTTTTCTGCTAGAGTCTTTTCTTAAATAGAATCATTATAGAAACATGCACTGGTTTCAACCACTGGCACCCTCTAATACTGCCTCATAACACTTGAGTAAAATGGTTCACCTCATACACATTCTGTATACAAATTCTCTTACTCTGTGATTATTAAATGTGAACTGGCTTATTTTTTTTATCAGAATAACAGTTCCTCTAATGCACTTACATGAATTTAATTTTATTCTTTCATTGAAATTCCATTTACTGTTCCATTTTCCCTTTATGCTTCTCTCCTGTAGGCTGAAAATTTTCTAGTTGTGGTCTTTTAAATTAAGGAGAACAGAAAGCATCCTCCAAGTTAGAAAGACAACGTTATTATTCTTTTTTTTTTTTTTGAATTATAAGCAATTTTAAATATCCAAGACAATCTATGCTGTGTTCTTTAAACATTTCTCAAGCTCTGCGATGGATTAAAGTTTGCAAAACCTCTGTTGAGGAAACTAGAATACATATAGAGAGGATGAAACTTTATTAGAAATCAGTTCATGTGTAGTGGATTGCACCAGTCTTGTCCTAAAAATAAACCACATGGAAAATTGCTTACCTAGTTAAACTACTCAATTTTATTTTTATTAATAGGATTTTTCCTGTACAGTTTATGACAATGAGCTTTAGGATATTCCACGGCAATGTTCCCTCCTCCACTGAAGCTGTCATGAAAGTAAATATTAAAAGACTAGAATCGTCCATGCATTGTATTACTGTTTTTTATCTTTTTTTTTTTTTTGGCTAGTGCTACTATTTAAAGTACTGCCAGGATTTTTCAACCTTTGAAAGATCTTTTCAGACTTGTCGTTACAGTGTAGTTTCTTCTTTAGGCCCACATATCATACGACGAAGCATAAAGATTAGGCATACGCCCTGGTATTATGTTCATTTCCATGCCTTCATGACTGAATTTAATACCAGCCCCAATGTTTCAGGGACTGCAGTATCCTCACTGAGCTTTAAACCAATTCTGTGGTTACTACATTATGTATGGGGAAATGTATTTAAAAAAAAAAATCAAAAAAACCCCTAAGCCTTCACCTATATGTTTATATAGAATAATTTCAACAATTAGGTTGAATTGAATTTAGAATAAATTCAATAAAGACTGAAGCATATTGTTTTATCAGGATACCTCCAAGGTTGTTTCATATACAGAAATGACAAGATTTGTGCTAAGATGCATCAGCTTCTAGGATGTTRCTTTCAGAGCTTTGTTTTTGCTGGACTGAGGTTGCAGGCATAAAGGGGAGGAAGTCATGCAGCACAGTGAGATTTGGATCAAGTAAATAATACTACAGTTAATGTAAATTAAAACTTAATTTCAAAATACTAAGGTCTGGGAGAATAATTTTTACATTTTTAGCAAACTTTTTATTTTTTAACTAGTCTTACTTTGCTAAACTTCACCAACTGCAGAGTGACTGTTCTTGATAATTTAACTATTACAGACTACAATGCAGCAAACAGTAAGCAAGAAACGTCCTTACTTTATCCTGGGACTGTTTTCATAAATGATCTACAGCAGCTAATGAGCACTGGAGAAATTGTTAATAATTATTATTTTTTAAAAAAGCTTGTTCAACTACCAGTCTTCCAATCTAAAATTCAGCTGAAAGAATTCAGGTCACATAATATCTTGTCAAGATAAAATGATGTTTTTAATAGGCCTTAGAAGAAGCATCTTGATAGTGTGGCATGATAACATGGAGCTGTTTTACAGAAGTGTCTTTTGGCTTGAGTCCTTTGTTGCTGCTTTATTCTGAAAATGTCAARTTTGTAAAGAAAGAATTAAGCAAGCCAAATGTAGTTGATTCTGTTTATAAAGACACTTGGATAGGATATGTTTATAATAGTTTATTTGTACAACAACCTGTTCTAACAGAGACCAAAACAACAGTACTGTCTTTGTTTGCATTAAAAATAATTGCATATAAACATGCAGCATTACTGTGGTGAGGTTTCATGTTAAGATAGGTTCAGCCAGTGTTCTGTAGTTTGACTAGTTAATGCTTTTACATAAGGAGTACCATATAGAAATTTGGGTTTGGTTCAGATTCCTAATTTTGCGACTTTATTTCAGGGGAAGAATTTAGTTATATAAGAGATTTTGAATAGATGACTTCCTAGTACATATGCATCTGGCAGGAATTAGGAGTTAAATTAGTCAGACTATTTTATCCCATTTCTGGTAAACAGTAACAACCACGTTGCCATTTAATTCTGGAGGGAAGGTTTCAGAAGATTTTTTTTTTTTGTTATTTCTTTAGATAAGTAGAATTCTTAAAGATGGCCAATTGGAAATGTTGTCTGTCATCAGGTGAATGTTTTATGCTGGAAAAACTGAATCTGTGAAGATTTATGGACAGAAAAGCCTAGTCAGAAGTTGCCTTAGAAAAGATATGAGCACATGTTCATGCCATTTGCTATTTATATTTGCAGATAGGCATGGCCCTTCTCATGGGGTCTCCTTAACATATATTTTTGAGTCTTATATCTTCAAATGTATTTTAAATGAACCTAATCATGTGCTGTCATTCTGCAAATAGCTTGCAACTCCTACTTTGTATTTTCAACACAGATTCTCACACTGTTGCTTTGAGTGGAAATAAGTGTGTTCTGTTCATTCTTTACAGTGGCTTTATGCCTGTTTAATGTCATGATACAGAATTACAGTATGATTCTGTAAAGAAAATTATGATTTTTGAAATTTGATTCATCTTTAGAATTTTTAACTATATGTTAATTTTAATCTCAATAAAATACAAAAGTAAATAATATGGAAAAGACAATAGGGTACCTGCTACAAATACATCATGGACTAAGATGAATTAGTTTGTTAAAATATAGCACAAGGATCTGTTGAAACATGATTAAATTAGCAGCATTTTACTTTCAGTGGGTGTACTGTGCATTATGCTCACTTATGTGCTCAGCCTTTCACATATGCAGGAAATAGAAAAAACTGTGCCCTGGAATTATAACATCCTGAAAAGTATAGGATAGATGGTTACCTGCTTGAGTAAACACTGTATTCTGTAGTTTCTCTGAGTATGGGAGATCTTACTTTTTCAAAAAGTGTTCAACTGAGCAGCTGTGATTTCTGTATCCTGTAAGAGAGAGAATGAAGAGATGCTGCTTAGTCCATTGCTACCTTTAGTGCTTAATTTGCCAAATATCTAAACCTGTTTGCCTAGTGATTTAATTACTTTTTTTTTTTTTTTTTTTGTGTAACCAGGTAAACATTAGTGAATGTAACTCCCACCAGCCTGTGTTTCCACTTATTATCAAAGTAAATTTAACACTGTTTTTCAACAAGAATAGTTTGTGCTTCACTTATACCGGATATATATTAATGTTGCAGAGCAGAAACTTGCCTTATGCAATAGCTGTGGCACATGCCATTAATGATTGGAATTGCTCTAAAATAACTGTAMGAGTAATCTAATAAACAGAATAATATTTTGATGTTGTTTTGTGTTTGTATAGATATTGACTATTGTTATTGCAAGTAACATGTGAATGCTTAAAAAAATCCTGAAGAAACTCTTAACTGTTCCAGCATTTGCAACCTATTTACAAAGGTTTTTTTTTCTTTCTTTCTTTTTTTTTTTTTTTTTTTTTTTTCTTTTCTCTGTGTGCAGGTAGTGGCCCAATTGTGGATCCAGACGTTTATGGTATATATTTGATTTTCTTTTTCTTTTCTTTTAATGATAGAAATGAAGGAACTCAAACCACTAAAAGGTTGGGTGTCAGGCTCAGTTAAACTGAAATGGCACATACTATAACACGGTTCTAAAAGGTACTTTGTATTGTTGGTTCTTTTTCTGACTTACATCATTTAAAATAAATGAGGGCAATGTGACATTTTGCTGCTTTTGATTCAGATTAGGAGAAGCATAAACCCGCTGTTACTGAAAGTCACAGTTTGTCCAGTCTAGCAGCTGTCTGATGCAGGTCATGGATATGAGATTTTCTGAACCTTTCAGAAACACTTCTTGAAGGAATGAGAGTTCATGATTTCTCCTTATATAACTTAATTTATTTTTCCAGGGATGATTCCATACTTGTTTTGCCTCCAAAAATGTTCTCCTAAATCCCCCTTAAAAATGGGGTTGGCACAAGTGAGTTTCCCTCTAGGCAATTTATTTTTCTCTGTCCGCTCTTTTGTACCTTCCCTTAATCTCTCTTGCATAAGCAGAACATCAACTCAGTAACATCTGAGTGTCTGCCAGAAGATCTGATGGCACACTGTTCACATTAGCTTTTTGTCAAGGCAAAATGTTTTGGCCTGTACCTTCCAGAAGTCATTGAGCACTATCATGTAGAAGCTGCAAAGTGAGGAACAACTGGCTTGTTTCACATAGTACTTCTCGTGTGCTTCTGCCCAGCATGAAAACTAGTCCTCACCAACACATCCAAAACACCTTTTAACTTCCAGCAGAAGCTGGATCCTGCTTGGAGTACTTTTATTTGGATGAAATGGCACATGACTCAAGCTTCCTTAAGCTGATTTAAATGTTATTGCTTTGATTCCATTCCATGTCATTAAACTTTAGCAAATGTGCAATTGAAGCATCAGTTTGGCTTTAAATGCTTAGGAAATAGCTTCCCCTCCCTCTTTTTCCAAATTCTTTCTATTTGGGGGGGCAAAAGGGAAGGGGAGGAGAGGGGGTGAAGGTTTGCACAGTTCCCTAGAGACATGTGCTGTGTTATATAAGTTGTATACAGGACGAATTTGATTCTGAGAAGTTTCCCAAGGTCCCGATGCACGTGTGTGACTTGAGTTGTGTGAGCTCTGTGATTTGGCTGACTTTGGTAGACCCTGTTGAAATGTGCAAGTGAATCACAGCCTGAAAGATCTAGCCTTGATTAAAACAGCGTTCCTTGTTACTCCCTGGCTTTTGCTTTCTACTTTTTGAATTTGCTGCCTTTGATCTTTGTTTCAGTGACTCAGTGCTTGCTCGGTGAGGTACTTTGTAGTCTGGAGCACTCCCCTAATTATCCCAAATTCACAAGTCTCGTTAGCGAGATGTGAATAAATAAGACAGGCTGACAGATCTGGCAGCTGCCATAGTGCTGTCCCTGAAGCGCCACCACTTGCGTGGCCTGGTGATAGAGCAGCTCTGGACTCCCATTTTCCATGGGAACGTACAGCTGCTTATGGCTTTACTGGGATAAGGGCATGGGGCACCAGGAGCCGGCACTGCTGCAGGATGGTGACGGGGACAAGATGGAGGCAGGCAGGGACAGGTCAGACTGAGATGGTGGCTGTGGGGAGGCTGGGCAGGAGCAGGACATTCATGGAGAGGCAGGTGCTTTTCCCACCTGGATATAGGCAGGAAGGAGGGAAGGAACAGTGCTTTGCCCCAGCTGGGTAGGACACCATGTGCCAAGCAGGTTTCTCTGGTTCTTCAGTCCCCACTTTCCCCGCCATGCTCCTGCCGCTGGTGTGGCCTTGAGGCTGAGCGAGGCAGAGTGCCCTGTAAAACCCGGCTGTCTGGCTTATCAAACAGCGCGAGGTGCCACCCTGCCGGGGCTGCCAGTGCCCGCATGCGCAGGGGAGACGAGCCCTGCGGCCATGGCAGGCCTCAGAGCAGGAGCCGAGGCCTGAGCCCGTCTGCATCTGCATGCAGCCCGGCAGGCTCGGCATTTCGTAACAGAAATGAACAGGAATTTGCCTAATTCGGAATTGCCTCTGTTTTGGCTGGGTGGCTGCTCTCTGTGCGTGTTTTCCTTGCCTGGCTTACCCGTTTCAGGAGGCTTTGAAACTCTGGCACGGCTTCAGATGCAAATCGCTTGCAGTTAGGCAGTGGGAAATGGCAGTGCTGCACCGATGAACCAAAGTGGCCTAATTTACCCCTTTCACATTTTTATGTAATTTTAATATAGCACTATGTTCAGAGGATTCACAGACCAGATCTGAAATGCTTTGGGTTGTTCTCTCTAGTCCTTCAGTGTGTGCTTGCCAGTACCTTAGGGCAGAAGGAGGTATAAGAACAACTGTAGATGCAGTCCATCAGCTTTTGCCCCTCTGCAGTGTCTGCAGGTTAAAGTCAAGAGCAATAAATTTTCCTCTTAAAGGCTTATTTCTATAAGCTTTTATTATCTATTTCATATATTGGTCCCATTTTGTCATTAAAGGTATAGTGAAGGCATTGCCAGCAAATTGTTAAGAAAAGCCATCCTGAGATACTTGTTGTAAATTGGATTTCTCCACTGATGATAAGTCTGGGGGTGAATAAAACCGAGCTCTCCTCCTTTGCTGTGGCAGAGCCTGTCGTCACAGGAGCGGATAGTCTGTGCATCTCCCTGTCCAGGCTTCCAGTGAAAGAGAGGAACGAGATTTATTTTGCAAGAAGTAAGGATTGCAGCTTCACTAAGAAGTAAGGATTTCAACTTTGTTGCAGAGGAAACTATAGGCATCAGGATGCAATGCTGAGGTGGAGAATTTAAGGGATAAAAGGCCAGAAACTTAAATCTTCCTCCTCATGAAAACCCCACAGACTTAACATATATTGTAACTTGAAAAAACTCCATCCTTCAGTGTGTGTGGTGTATACCCATGATAGTGTCAGTGAGCTGGCTAGTCAACCCGACGGGACCAACTGTAGCACTGGAGGCAGAGGTAGCTGCGTAGCTTCAGACTGCAAGGGAATCTGCAGGCTGATGAGTGCAGTGTGGAAACAAACCGTGCTTGTGCATGCATGAAGATCAAGACCGTGCAGCTTGTTGCAGATGTTGCCAGATGAGCAATCCAAAAAGGTCTTGGGAGCCAAAGAAGATAAAGTTAACCAAGGCACAGACAGGCTCTCCTGCTTCTTGCCAGGTGGCAGCGCTGGGGTCAGAAAACTTCCTGCCCCTGCGGTTTGTGTGAGCCGAGGCCCTGTCTTTTGCTCTTTTGTACTCACAGTCACCATTGCATCTTGGAACACTGATTTTAATCAAAATATAGAGAAATACACTGCTAATTGCAAATTGCAATTATAGTGCTGGAGGTGCATTTGTAGTAAATGCACTTATTGTCCTTGTTTTCTTTTATCTACATGCATATTATGGCCATAAGATTAGGAACATTATGTATATTTCTAGATGTAATCATAAAATTATAAAAAATTAATATAAAAATCATAAAAATTTAGTCTTTCTGTTTTAATACATGGATTAAAGTTCATATGTGTATTATTTAATTCTTTTTATCTTGTTTGAATAATTCCGAGAGAAAATCATGGACTGTACAAATCTCTGTTTCATTTTTAAGTAATTATAAATAATTAAGCTGTGTTTATTCTTTTGGAGAAATTGTCCTGAATTCCCCTCTGCAGCTCCATTAGTAGTATTGTTTTGATAAATCAAATTTCTTTGGACCACCTACCCTTTTTTCAAGTTTACCTGCATAACATTTCAGCATGTTAAACTGTGATCTCAGGGCACACAACAGTATTTCTGGTTAACCTACGAAGAACAACTATTTCACATTTGATAGGAATAAACTAGCAAAAAGGCCATCTGCCAAGTTCTCCTCTGCTAAACAGAAAGTCCCCAAGCTAATTTCTAAGACTGTCCTATATTTAGCTGATACAAGGCTAGGAAAGTTCAGTATAGAGGGCAGTTTTTCATTTTTAATGGGAAGTCAGAATCACATAAAAATAGCTTTATGGATGAGGTTCTTACTTAACTCTAGTTTTTCTAATACATATTATGGTGTAGAATCTTTCTCTATAGTGCTGCAGAAAGAAGCTGCTTCTTTTTTTGACTGTCAGTCACAGCCCTTTATTCCAATTTATTTTATTCTGTTCTAATTTATTCCAAATTCCCTGCTGCAAGGATCCCCCAAAATGTATTGAGTACAAAACAAAAAATGGTACCTTTTTATTTTGAAGAACTCAGAATGATGATAGTGTTTCTAGTGTTATGGTATTAGAGAAATGAAATTAAAAAGTCTACCATTTTACCCTCCAAGRTTATGAAATAAAAGCAACCTTTTTTCCTTTCTTAAGAGTATGAAACCACACCCAATGATCTTGGAGACACCACAAATAACAGTAATCAAATCACTTCTACGGATGTTTCCAACAAAGAGAATGAAGATAGCATCACCGTAAGTATATACATTGTTTCCTGATCTGTAATCTTGGCAGACTCTCTGACTAAAGAGCTAACGAAACTGTGGAGATTGTAATGGGACCCTAACATACCAGAACAGCAGAGCCATTACTGTGCTATTATACAAGCTGAAGAAGACAGAAGGATGCACTCCTTCCCTGCCCCAGCATGCTTTTTGAGAGTAGATCACTTTACATTCCAGGTAAAATTGTTCATTTGTTTCATGCATTTTTGAATGACTAGCTATAATTTGCTAGTCCAAGGCATTGTTTCTGATTTTTAGCAGAGGAAAACAGCTCTTCATTTACAAAATTAAGATATTCAAGGCAATTTAAAGACTGTTACTGAGTTCTGATCCCAGAGCAGAGAGCTGCTTCTCACAAAGCATGTATGAATTTAAAGTTTTTAAATGTGATTTCTTTCCTTTTTTTCCTTTTTTTTAAATTTTTTTCCCTTTTCATCCACCCTTTTTTCCCCTTTTCTATTTGTTTTTTCTTTTTTAAAGCAAATTTGTAGCACATCTTAGTAAGGCAACTGAATTGGTGGGTCTATTTATTTGGCATCCCATCCTTTATTCTGTTCTGGACTCCTATGCAGAATTATTGGAAGCAGACAGTGGGTGGCTGCGCTGGTTAGTTTTGTTGCTTCCCTGCTCCAGGCCCTGATGCTGCCACAAGGTGACAGGCAGTGGAGATTGTGTATATTTGTGAACGAGAAGGCGAATTGTGAGTTGGGAAGAATAGAAGAGGCTAGATAGTGTTGCACTATGTATTGCTGGAAGTGAATCTGCTTTGTGCAGGTTGGGAGAAAACCTACTCAGTGGTTCTCTCCAGTGTTGATGGTTGGGGAGTGAAGAGTTACAAGAGAAAGGCAAACAGCAGGGTTCCGAAAACTTCTATTTTGTTGTGTTTCTGCACAAACGGTGCGGTGGATCCGTAGCTCTGACAGTCTTCTGTTCCTCACATTGTCCTCACAGTCTCTCGCAGTGGCAATTGGTTGCTTAATGGAGATAGACTGTGCTAAAAGTTCAGGGGAATCTCAGGCAGTCTTGTTTCTTCTGGTAGGAAAATCACAGAATGTCTGAGATTGGAAGGCACATTTGGAGATTGTCTAGTCCAAACCCTGTACTTAAAACAGGATCTGTAAATTCAGGTTGCTTACGACTATGTCCAGTGGGTTGTAACTATCTCTAAAGACTGAGACTCCACAGCCTCTCTGGCCAATCTGTTCAACCACTATTCCACCACCTTCACATTAGAAAGTATTTACTTACAATCTTTTTTATTGTGTTTCCTTATATGCTTCTCCATTGGAAGAAAAAGGATGATAGGCATTCCATCCTACATGCCTTGAATGTGTAGGATGTTAGGAAAAGTGATTCTCAGAGATATCTGTTCTCAGCAGGGTACAGAAAACTTAAATAAGCAGTTTCTCTCTATAGTCTGTGATTAATCTGAGTTTAAGGTTTCCTATTTCAAACCGAATTGGGTAAACCTGAATTTATATTTAATAGTTTAATATAGTTTATGAAAACTCTTTTCCTCTTTTTTAGGTTTATGTTGTGGTGGGAATTGCAGCATTGGTGTGCACTGGCTTAGTGATAATGCTAATTATTCTGAAGTTTGGAAGACACTCTAAGTTTGGGATGAAAGGTAAGCAGTTTTTTTTAAATATATATATATGTGTATATAAATATATATGTGTGTATATAAAATATATAAAAATATATATCTTCCATAATTGTTCTGGGTTGTATAGGCTTCTGCATAAGAGAAGCCTAGATGAAAACCTGTTACATTTTGTGCTTCATTTATTTGACAGGTAAGTAAGGGCAGAAACAGACATAGATGCTAATACAAAATTTTGGTTTGAACTAGTCTACTTCTGTTTTTTATTAATAACAATCCCACTCTCTTCACAGCCTATTGCTGTAGTAAAATGTTAGTTGAGTCAGTTGATAGAGGCGAATGATAAGAAACTAAGTTCTTTCTGACTTCGATTTTAAATATTTGACAGTGCAAGAGTCTGTGCTGTATGCAAGAAGTTCTTCAAACTATGCTGTAAATGCAACGTTAAGGAAACGCATTCAAAGGAAAACAACAGCAATAGAGAAAGGTGTATTTGCAGAGCATCTTGTCACGCTGATGTTTTTTGATGGATGTATTTTCCAGAGCTTCTGTGTGTGTCTTGGGAGGTGGCAGCCGCTGAGAGTGCCACGTGCTCTTGTTACTGAGGAAGAGGAAATCTCAGCTCTCTTGTTTATTTATTTGTTTTACAGACAGAGGGAGGTGTATTTAACACACAAATACCTWTAACAATCCCAGTAGAGTATTATTGTACTAATATTATCAATCTGTGTCTAGAGATGTGGTTGGAATTGTATTAAAAAAAATCAKAAACACAAAGTAAATGCTTATTATTTTGCTGAGAGGCCTAGAAAGTGCTTTCCTGAGTGCTAAGTAGGTGACCTTTTGTTCTTAAGATGTGTGACTGCGGGTCTGTATAGAGACTGGTAATTATTTTTTGTAGTAGTTTTGTATTAACCTTATGTCTTTCTCTTACGCATAGGATGTAGTATCACAGAAGCTTTTTTTTTTTTTTTTTTTTTTTTTTTTTTTTTTTTTTTTTTTTCCTTCTCCACATGGTTGTATATTTTGGTGAATCCAACCTGTCTTTGGCTGTGTTCTTTTCAGTGATATCTAAAGACTATTTGGTATTTATATTTCTCTTTTTTTTTTATAAAGGAGAATTTCTAGAACATATACAATTTGAGCAGAGCAGAAATGTAGATTATATATATTAGTTTGCGAGGATTAAAAGCTTCTCTTTCACCTTCTTCTGATAAGCAGTCTTTGGGGAGGCATAAAAGAAGATGAGCACTCTGAAAAGCCCAGAAAAACAACACAGAACCTGTAGGATAGAGCTGCAGGTTTTGGCCAAAGAATAGAAGAAACTCCTTAGAACTGAACAAAAGTTCAGGGTAAATTKTCTTTGTGGCTAACACTTTCTGAAGTGCGTTAGGCAGTTGAAGGAAGTGGAAACTAAATAAGAACAACAATGGGAACTACCTGAGCTGAATTTTAACACTGAATACTTGTTAAGTTTTTCAAAATTTCCATTATAGTTATCAACATACCATTATAGGAGGTATTAGGAAATAAACTTTACCCTGAAGGAGAATGAGTAAAGTTATATTTTAATGGTAGTGCATTAAAATCCCTTTGAGGGAACTCTTAATGGTTGTTCTGGAGTATGCAYAAGTAGAACTTCTCTGACATAATAGTCTTGCATAATCAGTAATTTTTACTTCAGTAATATTCTTTTGCAGAATTGTCCTTCTAGATCATATTTGAGCAAGAATGTATTTTGTGGAGAATGGCTGGCCATGGTTAAGGCAGCAACCACATGTATGGAGTTTAATTTATTCTGTTAATTTGACCAGAGATGGTTAGAAGAGCAGTAAAAAATAGTTCACTCTCTGGATACATGCCTCTAGAAACTAATCATTGGAATGATATGTCTGGTAACGATGAAATGTTATTATGAGCATACAGATAAAACCCGAGCTTCACATTAGAAAAGATTGATGCTCAATTATCCCTTAAAGTGAACCTCAAACCTTTCTGAAGTTGGCACTCGCAATTGAGCATCCCAGTGGGTCTATCTGTGGATCCAAAGTCTCAGAACAACTTTCTTGGATTATCACCATYAGTATTGTTTAATTTGTATTAAAGCAATATTTAAAGACTTGAGATTAGAACACCATGTGGATATGTAATACCCAGAATGTTACAACAAATTGCCTGCTCCAAAACGCTTGCAATATAAGTATATACTGAGCAATAACAAGTGAAGAAAAAAACGGGTATATTAACAAGAGGAAAATAAGACAACTGTGAAGATAAATTTCTTAGAGTCAGAAGTATAATACATTTCAAGTATGTATTTCTGGAAATTCCGAATAAAAAGATCAAATGGTCTACTTGTGAATTCCTTGAGTGATTTGTCATTGAGTTCAGTGAGAGCAAAATTAGGACCCAACTTAAGATACAGACGTTATTTAATAATTTGTGCTCTAGTAGGGAAATGGAAAGTAATAAATATTTAGATAACTGTAGAGAATATTTACAAAACAAGCTAAAGTCTCGCTCTTTTAAAATATCCCTCAAAATGTAAGTGAATATTTTGCACTCCTAAGAAGTTACTTCCTGAGTTACCTGTGGAGTTAAACTGAATTTTTGAGTTTTTTTCCAAAACCAAAATGCAAGGAGGATACACCTGTTCCCAAACCAGACCCTTCTCTCTTAAGAAAGTACCAAATAGAACTGAGGGAAATCGATGGAAAGAGGGGTGTACTCTAGGTGTACTCTAATCCTTTTCGGACTAGAGCTTTTTCTTTTCTTTTTTTTTTTTTTTTTAAGTGAAGTTTCTGTCAGTGCTTTGAGCTGTGTGCGATAGGCCAAAGGTCAGAGATGAAACTGAGCTTGGAAATCCCATCGCAGTTAGGCAGGGCCATCAGTTGTGTCATGTCTGTGGACTTGGATGGTGCATTTTGTTAGTTGTAACTCCTTCCTGCAGCTCCCTGAACTACTGTGTCTTAAACATAAATCCTGACAGCAAATTATGTGTTCTTTTGGTGAGGTTTCTAGGCTGTACCTTGAAATTTCTGGGTACAGATAGTGGTATGGTGTGGGTTGATTAATAAATTGTCMTTTTAGGACAATAAAGCCCCAAATATGACCTTTCCTGCAAAACTTTGTTATTTGCTACTCATATTTTTGAATGTAAATTCCTAACTTGAGCTATAAATCAGGATGTTATGCTTTTTCCCAAAGTTGATTAAAAGTTATGAACAAACATGTGGATTTTGTCTGCAAAAGTCAAAAAAAGGCATTTCCTCCATAACTTTTTTTTCTTGCAAGTGATTTCCTTAGCTTTTGTGTTACACTGTGGACCTTCTTCATTTTTTTTAATGCAAAGATGATTTTTTCCAAACATAAGCCATGACATAGTCATAGAATATTTTTTCTTCTCTGTGTGTCATTCACTGTATTGTTTTTGCTTGTGAACGGTTGTTACATTCTGAGCTTCAATCAAGAAAAAACAGTAGTAGAGAGGACAGCTTAAAACTTGTATTCCATTGAGGTATTTCACAATTGTCCTAGGATATTTTAGTTTGAATAAGAAGTGCCATAATACTGTATAATAAAAACCACATTAATCAGCAGTGTTTTCATTTGACACTTCTGGTAACAGCTTCTGACACAATGTGTCCATTATGATTTGAAATCTTTAGCCCTCATTTTCTTGATCATATTTATGTCTTTAAATAATAGTACTATTCAGATTAGAGTGCAGTGCTTTATTATTGKGTCTAAATATGACGGTTTGTTGAGGTCTATACATATTGTTTTGGATGTAGTTTCACTGCCAGCAGAAGAAATCTTGTTTCTCTCATACTTGTCTGTGAGTAAATAGAAAACGGTCATGGTGTTCTCTGTTTTAATACATTTTATTAACTCCACATTGTTGCGGGAGAAGAGAATGATTGCAAGAGGTTTCAAAACAAATCCTATGTCTTCCATGCTGATTTGCTTTTTGAAGCAGCAGATTGCTCTAAGCCTGACATACTGRTATGTCAAAAAGGGAGAGATGTTTGGTTTATTATATTTTAACTCATGCATTATTCTATGRCTTGCTTGAGCAATTGGGTTGCTTATGGATTAGAAGGGAAATATGATTAAAAGGGAAGTGCTTTTGTAATTTTAGTTTTAAACCAAGTGCAAAATTAAAGCTTTGTATCTTCAGCAAGGACCTGTGATTTGGCAAACATGATCTAATGTTCAAACTGGTCATAAATCTGTAATGAGCTCTCAGTGAGGTTTTTTTTCTGCCTGTTTTTTGCCTTACTTGCCAGGTTACTAAGAGGAGCTCTGCTCAGAATGTGGAATCATTTGTAACTCTGGAACATGCATGAGGTTCAGTCAGGTCACTGAAATCCTGAAGTTGCTGATTTCTCCATTTGAACATGCAGAAGTAATTTTGTGTTGTGTTGAACCTTCCATAATGCAGRTTCTATTGGTGTCAATGTTTCAATGTCTTTATGTCTTTAAAGCATTTGATTATTTAGTCAATGAGTATAATGTAAAAGATTATATTTTGTGGTTCAGTGGTTGTAAGATAAGAAATAAGGTTAAAAAAATGAATATGTTCAAATACAAACTATTTTTGATGGTGAGACATGTAAAGGCAGTGATGATATTGCTCATCTGAAGCAGACTCCAGAAATTGTCTTTACAGTTTGACACCAGCATYCCAGTCCTGGTAGTCATGGAAAGATCTAGCAAATTTCCTCTCTCAGGTGTCTTGGATTATAGTGATAATAATATATATGTATCATACGAACATTTAGAAGATAAATTTGCTAAGGCTTGTAAGTAGCTTATTTTGAAGAGGCAAAAAAACTATAAGTGGCTAAAAGAAGAAGAGCATTTATGGATTGATCCATAGAAGTCATTCTATGTAAAGGATTTTACAAAGAACTTAAATATTAAGCCACTGTTCTTTCACTTTACGCTAAGAAATGATGTGTCTCTTAAAATATATTGCTTTTTAGTTATGTCACCCTATCAGAACATTTGACCCTGTGCAC